CCTAACCAGCTTTGACTCAGGTGAGAATTTAGCTATGTCTTTATACCTCATATCCAAGTCATTGACATAAATTGTAAAAAGCTGAAGCCCCAGTGCAGCACCCCACTCATCACATCCTGCATCAGGCAAAGACCCATTTATGCATTCCCTGTTTACTGCAAGCCAGCTAATCCTCTATCCAAGCTGGTATGTTGCGCCCTATACCATGTGCTTCTACTTTGCAAGATCTTTTTACATACCATCTTGTTAAATGCCTTTTTAAAATCCAAGTACAGCATGTCAATGGACTCCCTCTTACCCACAGTGCAAATTATACTCCAAAAACATTTTATTCCATTTCCAAGATGGAATATTGAGAGTAACAGAATTATACTACTTTTGTAACAGACATATATAAGGTTTGCAAATCATTTAGTCTTCTGAACAAAAAAGTGAAGCAACCTTTCTCTTTAAGTCTGGTTTTGTATAAAACAATAGCTGCTGGAATTGGCAAAAATCATACATCCTGTCTTTACAGTAAACATATCAACACAATGGTCTTCCCTGCAGTAAAATCAAGTGGAAGAAAATGTATTAATTTTTTGTACTGTTTATTAGCATTATCTATCGTGGAATCTATTGCTTACAGAATTTTCAGCTGTTGGGAAATTTGCTAGTAGTTGCTGTACTTAAAAGACTGAGTAGATTGGGCAGCCTATGAAATGGAAATAGTTAACTCCCTCCTCACTGAAATCAGAGTTTAGGTATTGAAAAGGTTAACAGTGAGAAACTGAAGAGCACATATTTACATTTATAGGTGCCAGAGATCTGTTAATGAAGAATTACTTAATCATTTTGTCATTTTTTTATTGTCAATAACAATGTTGAATGAAGCATACATGAGGGAACATCGTTCTTAAAATTAGAAGCATAACATATTTATTTAGTCAGCAATATCAGCACTGTTCAAGTCATTTACTTATTTCCAATAGCAAAGGCATAATCAAGCTGCTCTGCTTAAAAATCTTAGCGATACCACAATTATGTCAGCACATATAAATATTTATTTTGTGTTGCATCAGTGACTTTCAAAAAAAAACACAACTCGGTCATGCTGTTTCTAATCTTAAGAATTAAAAATAACTTCTAAAGAAATTTTAAAGAAACATTGATATATTTCACTGGGTAGTATATTGTTGTTTAGGATCATTTGCTATCACATAATTTCAAAACTCAGTATTCTTACATTTCCCCTATATTTATAAGCTATTATTCCTCGAAAATATTGACAAGGATCATTCAAACATACTGCTTGCTTATTCAAACCAATTTGGATTTTGAATTGCTACAAATTATTTTCTACAGGTTTCCAGGGGTGACTAGCAAAAATAACACTTGTGAGTTGTAAATTTAAAAAAAACAAAGCAATTTCATTTCAGCAAACACAGACCCTATAAATTCTTCAGTTAACTGGACAACAGCTAAGTATTTGGAAGCCAAACAGTTACTAAAGAAAAAAAAACAGGTCAAGGGGTGAAAGGAATAGCTGAATCTGTTTGTTGACCGAAGTTGTCAGAATATATTTAGGACCAACTGGAAACTCCACACGAAAAGATAAAATAAACTGACTTCTACAGTCAGAAAGGAAAGAAAAGGAATACATTTACAGAAATTAGCTACAGATGAACAAGCTCAGTATTAGACAGTGACTTTTATAAATGGTGCTCAATAAAACAAGAAAATAATATTAATGATTACATACAGTTATAGATTTTTAAATCTTACTGAAGGTAAATATTTAAGTTTTTTTTACTGTTTAATAGATTTGCTGAATATTGAAATGAAACATGATGTTTGATGTGATGGGGTGCTGCATTCAAATATTTCCAGTACTTAAGAGTAAATATAAGGTTGCTTACACATTTTTCACATATTATCAGAAATTCAATTAGATCTCATGACAAGGATAAATACTCTCAGCGAAACATGCAAAGTTGAGATGCATCCATGAGGATGATAAGGAGGCTAAAATAATCCTTTTTTTCTTTATTCATTCATGGGATCAGGGTATCGCTGGCCAGGCAGCTTTTATTGCCCATCCCTAATTACCCAGAGGGCAGTTCAGAGTCAACCACATTGCTGTGGGTCTGCAGTCACATGTAGGCCAGACCAGGTAAGGATGGCCGTTTCCTTCCCTACGGGACATTAGTGAACCAGATGGGGTTTTAACCGACAATCAACACCAGATTCATGGTGATCACTAGGCTCTTAATTCCAGATATTTATTGTATTCAAATTCCACCATCTGCTGTAGCAGGATTCGAACATGCGTCCCCAGAGCATTAGCTGGGTCTCTGGGCTAACAGGCCAGTGACAATACCACTACGCTATTGCCTTCCCACAAATCTAGAATAATGATTTTTTAAAAAACCAAGGTCCATAGTCAACCATATACATTTCCCAAAAATCTGTGTCCTGATCAACTTCAGCAGAGTATGTGCTATTTTAAGATTAAATAAATAAATATATGAAATTGTTATTCATACTGTGATATTTTTATACGTGTTACCTGCTATGATGGTTTCCTTCTCTTAAAAAGCAAGATGCCATACTTCAATAAGTTGACTTTTTCTATGGAATGAGAAGGGACTATTGGACAACTATATGGCATCAGCATCAAAAAGCAGATACCAATCTGCTCAGTTATTTTGCCTTTAGGCATTTCTCTGTTGAAAGTATGAAGATAATCTTACAAAATAATCTTTGTCTTTGTTTGTACGAATTTCAGAATCTAATATAATTAAGGTTTACAATATTAATAAGGCTATTGTGGAGCAGTGGTCATATTCCCACTTCTAGGCCTGAAGGCATGGATTAAAGTCCAGCCTGCTCCAGACGTGGGTCATAACTGATGGAAAATGTCTATAACTACTGAAAAAACAATGATGCAAGAAAATATACTCAAAAAAAAATCTATAACATTTTGTCACCATGCAAATAATTTAGTAGCATGTGAAGTCTTGTGTCTGAGCTGAAAGTACATCTGTACAAAATCATCTCTTGGCCGCTTTGCTACACCTTCCCTTTAAATGTACTCAATACCAACATTTAGAAATTCATTGTGTTACCTTAGTTATTTCATCAATAAAGCAGACGTGTGTCACAGGGTCTCTTTTCTTTGTCAAAACTTTCTGCAAGTGCTGCACCTAAAGTAAAGGAACCATCAATTTATCACTAAAAATACAGATACTGGATAACTATCAGACCACAAATGTTTCATCATCTTTTAATATAGCTTCAATATTACTGAATGCAATCTGCTGTCACCCTACAAAAGATAAACCATTGTTTCTTGGAAAACCCTGTGCTATAATGTGTCAGGTATTTTCTTCTATTCCATGGTATGTTCTGTAAGATTCCATAATTATTTTCTGAAACAAAGCAGCGTTGAGATCATAAGCAACATCAAGAGGACTGAAAACAGTAAACAAAAAGTACCTCCAATCCACACTAGTTCTGAAAAAGATATTAATTATATATGTTATACTATATTTACAATATTTTACTTTGAAATTAGTATTATGCCCTGCGCATCTTGAATAAATGATGTTTCCTATCAATGTGCAAAGAAGCATGAGAAATTCTTGAAACAAATGAGGCAACAATCTCAGTCAAAAACAAATGGAATATCAGAACCCACAACTTGCTTAACATGCCACAGTTATTATACCACTACTCATGGACTCACTTAACCATCTGGTAAAATCAAGATAACCATCTATAGTGAAAGAAACTTAAAGCAATGTCTGCAACCTGTTGCCAAGCATAGAAAACTGATTTGGACAATGTCAGCTGTTAAACTGGAGAAGTAAAAACTGCCTGTGTGCTAGGGGCTGGTTGAGGACAAAGACACTCTGGAGTGATGCTTGACTTCAGGAAACATTCGAAGTTCAACCAAAAATTGCTGGAACAAGGTATTTAGGGCATGGAGGAACATGCAAGATTTCTCAAACTACGCAAACCTTTATGGAGAACAATTTGGTTAATGCCACCTAAAGAATGCAGCACTGCAAATGTTGCCTGTCCATGCTTAATTCCCTTTTGCATCCAGAAGTGAGAGGTTAGTGCGAAAATCCCCGAAGTTCTTTACATGAAAGGAAACTGAGCATCAACATTCTAAGTCTTAAATTGTTTCAACAAAATCCCACTCTTGAAAAAAAAAAACTGCTTGCATCAATACTTCATGCCAGAATGGAGTAGATGGGACTTAAAAATTATCAATGATAA